AGATACCAAAAGACAACTGTCCCTCCTGCAATAGCACATCTGAGGCTGATTCCGTTATTTAACAAACGACATTCAGTTCTAGCCTAGAAAGTAATTGTTTCTTTGCTGTGTAGTTTCCGGTCTTCACGTTTGAAGGTGAAAGCACAGGAGAACTAGCAAAGCAGGGGCCCAAGGAGTTCCTGCACTGGCAAGTTCTTATATCCGGAACTAACGGGCCCTTCCACATGCAGAAAATGACCAGGAAAAGCCAAACACCACTAGGCCTAATTCATGACTTCTGGGGGGGATGATCACAGAGGGGGTATTTCTTATTGTTGTTAATTGAGGTATAATTTATGCATGGTAAATTTAAATATTTTCAGATGTATAGTTCTTTGAATTTGATAAACTTAGATAGTCATGACCCCACCATCACAATAAAAATTCCCTCACATCAGAAAGTTCCCTTGTGCCCCTTTCTAGCTAATCTCTTCCCTTCACCCCCAGTCCCTGCAAACCATCAATGTGATTTCTCTCCCATAATTTTGCCTTTTCTAGACTGTCATATAAATGGAGTCAAATAGCATACAGCCATTTTCATCTGGCTTCTTTCACTTAGCAAAAAGCTTCTGACACTCGTCTATGTTATTTTCATTTTTTCTTATTCCATTTATGGATATAGCACAATTTGTTAATCTATTCACAGCTGTAGGACATTTGGGGTGTTTCTAGCTTTTAATGATTATCAATCCAGCTGCTATTAAAATTTGCTTATGTCCGGCCGGTGTGGCTCAGTGGTTGAGTGTCGACCCATGCACCAAGAGGTCGCTGGTTCGATTCCTGGTCAGGGCACATGCCCAGGTTGTGGGCCTGGTCCCAGTGGGAGTCACGCGGGAGGCAGCCAATCAATGTTCTCTCTCATCTCCCTTCCTTTCTCTCTGAGATCAATAAAGAAAAAAGAAAAAAAAAATTGCTTAGAAGTTTTTGAGAGAATATCTTTCTCATTTCTCTTGGCTAAATACCTGGGAGTGGAACTCCTGGCTTGCACAATAAGTAAATATTTAACTTTATGAGAAACTTGCAAACTGTTTTCCAAAGTAGCTATTTCATTCCCACCAGCAATGTATGATAGTGGCGCTTGTTCCATATTCCCATCGGCAGTAGGTGTTGTCAGTTTCCTTGATTTGAGCTATTTTAACAACACAGCAATTCGTGAACTTTTGATCTAGGGCGAGCTATAAAATGAAACATTCTGCTGGCTATGTGCCCTGGCTTGAAAATTCACATTCACCTGGAACCCCAGGATGTGACCTTATTTGGAGGCAGGGTCATTGCAGATGTAATCAGTTACGTGTAGATGAGGTCCTGCTGGATTAAAGTGGGACTTCGTGCCAATGACTGATGGAAGCCACGTGAAGACAGAGACAGAGGGGAGAAACTCCTGTGATGATGCAGGTACACGTTAGAGCTATGCGGCAGCAAGCCAAGGACACCAGAAACTTCCAGATGCCAGGAGAACAGGAGGATGCTTCCTCAGAGCCTCTGGAGAGAGTGTGACCCCACCCACATCTTGATTTCAGCCTTCTAGCCCCCAAGGCTGTGAGAGAACACGTGTTGTAAGCCATCCAGTTTATGGTAGTTTGTTATAGTTGTCCTAGCAAAATAATACACTATGGCACAATTTACAAAATACAATAATACAAAGAAATATATAAGGTTATCTTTGACTTTCCTAAAGCTTTTCGAGGATAAAAGCATAATTTCTTATGTAAAAATATAGTTCTAATTAGTACGAATGTGTCATTAGCAGCCTAAACTACTAATAGACATAAAAATACTTGGACTAAGTCTTTGACCAATCTATAATTCATCTTTTCACTGAACTTCTTCTGTGAGTCCAAATTAGTAAAGTCCAGCTATTTATCAGGGATTAAGGTCAGACCAGAACAAGAGTGGTTCCTAACCTGTGGCTGTTGAATACGTGAGATCCACATTTTGCAGAATGTTCTATAAAGGATTAAGAGATAGATTTTCTTTTAGTTTAGTTGTATAATGTATTAAAATCTTACATATTTTTTAAATTTTAAAATCATGTGTTCATTTTTCCTATCATGGCGTATAGACCAGTTTTGAAAAGTCTTGGCTAGTTCATAAAGAACAGATTATATTTCAGGAAGTATTGTTTCTTTGCTGTGTAGTTTCCAGTCTGAAGAAGAAAAGAACATAGCCCTATTTAGGGTGGGGATGGGGGCAGAGAAACCCCCATCCCCACCCCAAAATCCATAAAAGAAGTTAATTCTTCTGTCATTTCATTATTCAGAAAGATATTGCCAACTCAGTGATGATTATATTAATTCAATAATATAAATTAAAGAAATAGCAATAGTTAATATCAGACTGTGGCTTATGCTACCATGATTTGCTAGGTAGTTACTGCAATTGGACAGAAAATGAAGCAACAGGTGGGACAGGAGGGCTGGTACAGAGTAAACAGGATTCCTGCCTTTTTAAAAATCCTCACCTGAGGTAATTTTTCCATTTATTTTCAGAGAGAGTGGGAGGAAGAGAGAGAGAGAGACATTGATTGGTTGCCTCCTGCAGGACCCTGACCAGGGCCCGGGACCGAACTGAAGCGAGGTATGTGCCCTTGACCAGAATCGAACCCATGACTCTGGTCCACGGGCCAGTGTTCCAACCGCTGAGCCAAACTGGCCAGAGCAGGATTCCATTTTTTACTATCATTCCTCTATCTATAATATTTAAGCCACACACCCCCTCCCCCAATTTGGAACATAAGTTGTATAACAAGCCTACCAGTTGAACACTGAATATCATTATATGGAGATGGAAAGTGTGTCTGGCACTCACTGAACCCCTCATGAGTCATGTTCCGAGTTGTGTACTATGGTTAACAGCTATACCACCCTACTTCACAGGGGTAGCTGGAGAATACAATCATGCCCACCATAAAAAGTTTGCAGAGCAGGGCAGAATGTCATCTCAACAGAGGCCAATAATGTTCAGCAACCCGTATAAAAGGCCCGTTTTTCCCTACTTCTATTCTCTAATCAGCATAAGCTGTTCTTTGGGTGTTTGGGGAGAACATAGGGTTGACCTGTTTGGGGGGTGAAGGACTTATAATGTTGGACCGCCCGTTCCAAGTTTGAGTAATTTCAAAGGACAGGGCTTTGGGGACTTGGAACAACCTGTACAGCTTCATTGTCCTGTGTCTGGCTAAACACAGAAACCAGTCTCCGTTGTAATCTCCACCCCACGTTTAGAAAACCATAAACTCAAGTTGCTACAAATAAAAGGCCCCAGCAGAGCACCCTGATGCCCTTCGGGCTGGTATGACACAATCAGAAGGGAGACGATGGGGTAGGGACCCTCCGCTCTATAAGTAGAGAGAAAGAGAAAAATCGATGACCAAATGTTTGTCTCATTCAACTAAATATCTACAGGACTGTCTATGCATTTTACAGCTACAGAATACCAGACAGGAAACAGGAACGCAAGACGGAGGAGCCAAAGCCACTGGTTTTGCAGTCTGTTTTATGGGCTGATTAGATGCTGAAACTTCAATTGTGACAACCAAGCAGACATTATTGCCCATTGCAGGGTGGTCAGAATTAGGCCTGGGAATTGTGTAGATGAGCAAATCCTTTCAGGGGAGCTCGAAGTCACTGCTATAATTTATGGTAAATTATAGTTGGCACCAAATTGGCAAACTTGTGCACGTGCCCACCACACTCCCACCAGCCTAAAAATACCATCGATTACCAAAAACCTTGAAAAATTAATTCATCTCCAGTAAGAGAGCAGAAGAAACCAGGCCAACGAAGGCTTCCTAAAAGCGAAATAGGACCTGAAGTTCACAGCTTTGCTGCTTATTTGGAAACAAAGCTAGAAACAGAGTCAGGAGCCCAGGTGCAGTGATCAGAGTAGTTGTCCCCACCAATCCTTGTGCCAACTAACCCGGCCTGAACCCAGCCTGGTTGAATGTGTTCATTCTCAGGTGCCTCGCTATTGCCGCTCCTCCCATATTACCAAAACCGGGACAACAAACATTGAGGCTGGTTTAAAATTAAAAAGCTGTGGTACATATACACAATGGAGTACTACGCAGCGGTAAGAAAGAAAGATCTCTTATCCTTTGAGACTACATGGAGGGACCTGGAAAGTATCATCCTAAGTGAAACAAGCCAAACAGAGAAAGACAAATTTCATATGATCTCACTGATTTGTGGAATATAATGAACATAACAGTTTGAGGACAATCCCCTAAGGAGTGGGGAGGTGAGAGAGGGATGAACCACAGAACTTATATGCATGTATGCATGAACAGTGGACATGGACAACAACCTGGGGAAGGGGCAGGGAGGGAAGGGGGAGGGGGGAATCAGTGGGGGGAAAAAGGAGAATCATTTGTAACAAAAATTAATCAATAAAAAAAAATGGTAGATCAAACCTCAAAAAAATAAAAAATAAAAAATAAACCATTTTAAATTACATTTTTGTGAGGTTAAAGCAGGTAACACCACCACCTAATAAAAATAAATTGTCAACGTCCTATGGACATGCTGCAGTGTTCCTCAGAACAAAGCCCAGGGTACAGCGTCACTAACCAATTTGTGACGAGGAAAGAACAACAACATAAGGGAACAGATAAGAGAATACAAGTCGATTTTAACAAAAACAGTGTTAGGGCACGCAAAGCCCTGGGGGAGCGCAGAAGCTCTCCGCATCGCTGAGACAGCACTACGCCGGCCCAGGAAAGGCGCTCCACGGAGAGGTTCGGTGCCAAGCAAAGGGCAGACCTCAGGGGCGCCAGGCTCCGGGGGTGTCCGCTTCCCTGCCCCACCGGCCTCCCAGCTGGCTCCCGCCCCCTCCGACCGACCTCCAAACCCTGGCAGCCCGCTGATTGACAAGCGGCTCAGCCACTCCCAGGAGCCCGCCAGCGTAACAATCTCTACCGAAGCCAATGAAAGCCACGAGGCGGGGCCTGCGGCGTAGAAGCGGTGTCGGTCAGGTGCTCCGCGCCGAGGTTGCGTGGTGGTTCAAGGGGTCCCCTCCCTCCAGCCACCTCCCCGCTATTGCCCCAGCTCCACGGAAGGGAGACCCTCTCCAGATCCTGCCTCCCGCTGCCCCAAGTCGATTTGGACTAACCGGAACCCTGCGAAGGTAAGAGTCCAGGGACCCCCCAAACGACTCCCCAGTTCCACTGCACACACACAGCCCACGTTGGGGCACCTGCCGGCCTCGGTGGGCGTACGGTACCTACGCCCCGATCCTTCCCAGTGCTGGGATGGAATGCCTGTGGGGCGGGAGGGGGGGGCGATGCATCACCCCTTTCTCGACGTCGATTTGCCCTCTACACACCTACTCTTCCTCCACTTTCCCTTTTCTTCGCGTTTCTTGGCGCCGCTCACCTCCAGATTTCCAAGGCTGTGGCGGGTTGGGGAGTGGGAAGGGTTGGAGGGTTGGAGGAACTGGAAAGTAGCCCAGGGAAATCTGGACCCAGAGCTAGGGTTCCGCCGCACGGTGCAGCATTTTGAGCATGAAAAAGAAAGAAATCTGAGATTGTGTTCATTCCACCCCCACCTCTGTTTATTGCTCTGTCAGAGAGGAGATAATAGTGGTTCTGCTCACCAAACATTCCAGAGCTTTAGACAACACTTAGCCTTTGTTTTCCTTTGTCCCGGGGAAGCAGTGCTTTACTGCCTACCACAGTTGCTGAATGAATGTACTTAAAGGAAAAGCACGTGTTTCGTGTAGGTGATTTTGGTTTTTTTAGGCTTAAATTAAATTTGGTTTATATTAGCCTTCCTTGTGTTGGGAAAGTGATAGAAAAGGGAGAAAGAGGAAGGAACCACCGGCCTCATCCACATGTTAGTAAATATATTTGCAGTTGCTTATTGGAACTTATTTTTAATGTCCTTTCCATAATTGGAAACACTATTGCCATTTGAGAAATAGTTTTTAAATTTAACTTTGCATCATTATCTGGAGACCAATATGTAAGACAATTTCAGTTTAACTAATTTAGTTCTATGTATGGTAAAATCATGCTTAAAAAACAAACAAAATAGAATTATCGCATCTAAAAGCAAAGCCAGTATGCCAAGCGGTTTTTATTTACCCATAGTTATAATATAGCAAGGTAAGACAGGGTCTGTTTTTGAAATTTAAAAATGTCTTCAGTGTATTCTCATTAGGAAGATGTCAAAGCTGAATTCAAGAGATTTATTGGCACAAAGTATGGTTAAATCTAATTTTTGGTGGGCTTATAAATACCTTCATGGAAGAATGAACAAGAAAAGGAGAGAAAAAGATCCTTGCTTGATTTGCAAGCCAAATGAGAACTGACAAAATTTACATATGTATCTATTTGTAGTGCCTCTTACTAGCTTTCTTGAGTAGAATAAAAGCTTTTTAGAAATATATGCAGATTAAAAAAAAAACAAACTAACAACCTTGGTCCAGAGAGATTATTTAATCAGGTGTCTTTTCTACACATATCACTAATAAGATTAAATGTTAACAAATTTTGACATTTGGAAAGCCAACATCTAAATAGACACTTCTCCAAAAAGGATGTACAGATGGCCAGTCGATTTATGAAAAGATGTTCAGTCATCAGAGAAATGCCAATTAAAGCCACAATGAAATATCACCTCACACCTGTCAGAATGGCTATCATCAATAAATCAACAAACAACAAGTACCCGCAGGATGTGGAGAAAAGGGAACCTTGGTGGGAATGCAGACTGCTGCAGCCACTGTGGAAAGCAGTATGGAGTTACCTCAAAAAATTCAAAATTGACCTACCTTATAACCAGTGATTCCACTTTTGGGAATATATCTATCTGAAGGAACCTGAAAGAAACACTAATTTGAAAGAATATATGCACTCCTATGTTCATTGCAGTGTTGTTTACAATAGCCAAGATTTGGAAGCAGTCCAAGTGTCCATCAGTAGATGAGTGGATAAAAACGCTGTGCTACATTCACACAATGGAATACTACTCTGCCATAAAATAAAAAGGAAGAAAACTTTACCCTTTGTGACATCATGGTTGAACCTGGAGAGCATTATGCTGAGTGAAATAAGCCAGTCAGAGAAAGACAAGTACAATATGATTTTATTCACATGTGAAATTTAATGAACAAACTAGACTATCAAGCAAAATAGAGCAGACTCAGCAGGCAGACAGCTCTGGTGAGGGGTGATGGGGGGAGGAGGGATTGAGCAAAAGAGAAAAGAAAAAAGAACTCATGGACATGGACAACAGTGTGGTGATTGCGGGAGGTGGGGAGTGGAGATGGAAGAGGGTATAGGGGGAATAAATGGTGATGGGAAAAAAATAAAGAGAAAAATAAAACAAGGAAATACCTACTAAATAAATAAAACAAATACGGAAATATCTACTAAAAATATATTTCTCTTTAAGCCTAGTTCAGAATCTAATTGTTTAGTATAAAGAATGATTTGATTATTAATAAATGAATGCAGATTACATTTTAAAATATATTTGAATGTCACAAATTTTATGTCTCTTCAAGAAACCAAGTTAATGTATTTTCTCCTCTTTCTAGTAACATCTCCAACCACGATAAACCAAACATAAAGTTTTGGATTTGTAAAAAGAAAATTTTAATTTCCTTATTGATTTGAGGGGGAGAAAGAGAGAGAGAGAGAGAGAGAGAGACACCAATTTGTTATTCTACTTATTTATGCATTCATTAGTTGAATATTGTATGTGCCCTGACCAGGGATCAAACTTGCAACCATGTGTATTGGAATGATGCTTTAACCAATTGAGCTACCCAGCCAGGCTGCCTTTGGCTTTGAAAAAAAAATATATATGTATGTATATATACACACATTTTTTTTTAAAGCATTGTTATTGGATTTGCCAGTGGTACATTCTTGTTGCTAGTTTCCTATAGTAGGTCTGACCGTGATAAGTATGTTCACAGGTATTTGTCAGAATCTGGGTCAACCTGAAAATGTTTCTGAGAAGTTGTATGTAAATTATATCATATTTTAAAATGATATGTGGGAAGCTATTTAAATAACTCCTTTGAGAAGTGTTTTGATTTTTGATAAATTCTTGGAAAGTAAAACTGTTTCTAATGCAACTAAACGTCTTAGCTTTATTATGCAGATAGCCCCAGATGTCTTGTTTAAAATGGAGTTCTACGACATAATCCTTCCAGGCTGCGATTTATGATATAACTGGGGTTACTCAGTTTTGGATAAAGTATACAAAACAAAATTATGTTCTATATGTTATTAACTTCTCTATTTTTTTTATACAGATCATCTTATGCTGAACTGCTCAAGTCCCTTGAAAATGACTTCGAGACTCCTCTGGGTGGCCTTCAAACTTGCTGCATTAACACTTTCAGTTACCCTTTCTCTCCAACCAGAGCAGCAAAAGGTTCTACTAGTTTCATTTGATGGATTCCGTTGGGATTACTTATATAGAGTTCCAACACCCCATTTTCATTATGTTATGAAATCTGGTGTTCATGTGAAGCAAGTTACTAACATCTTTATTACGAAGACCTACCCTAACCATTATACTTTGGTGACTGGCCTGTTTGCAGAGAATCATGGGATTGTTGCAAATGACATGTTTGATCCTATTCTGAACAAATCCTTCTCCTTGGAGGACATGAATATTTATGATTCTGAGTTTTGGGAAGACGCGATACCGATATGGATCACCAATCAGAGGGCCGGACGTGCCAGTGGGGCCGCCATGTGGCCCGGATCAGATGTGAAAATACACGAGAGCTTTCCTACTCACTACATGCTTTACAATGAGTCCGTTTCCTTTGAAGATAGAGTTGCCAAAATCATCGAATGGTTCACAGCGAAAGAGCCCATCCACCTTGGTCTTCTCTATTGGGAAGACCCTGACGACATGGGCCACCGTTTGGGACCCGACAGTCCACTCATGGGGCCTGTCATTTCAGATATTGACAACAAGTTAGGGTATCTGATACAGAGGCTGAAAGAGGCCAAGTTGTGGGACACTCTGAACCTAATTATCACAAGTGATCACGGCATGACCCAGTGTTCTGAGGAGAAGGTAATAGAACTTGACCAGTATCTGGATAAAGACCACTATATCCTGATTGACCAATCTCCAGTAGCAGCCATCTTGCCCAAAGAAGGTGAGTCTGACGGAGTGTTGGTCTGAGACCAGGTCTGCTTGCGCCCAGTGCAACTGAGTGGGGAATTTCTGTGTCTGGGCCTGGAAAGTGTGCTTGCCTGTGTCATGGTAATATTCTGCAATTTAATCCTTTGACTCTGAAAAAACAAAGTCTCTTTTCTGTTTTAAAGGCATGAATTATATACAGACTCTTGATTTTATTTTTTGGTTTTTTTGGGGTTTTTTTAGAGACAGAGGAAAGGAGAGGGAGATAGAAAGAGAAACATCAATGCGAGAGTAAAACACTGATCAGTTGCCCCCTGCATGCCCCCTACAAGGGAACAGAGCTCAAAAGCCGGGCATGTGCCCTGCCTGGGGATTGAACTGGCAGCCTCCTGCTGCATGGGATGACGCCCAACCAACTGGTGTTGCTGTTGTTGTTTTTACTGAAGCAAACCTGGGTTCGCTTCTTGGCGAGCAAGGTACCAGACATTACACCAAGAGGGGTTGCCACACAAAGCACACTTTATTTGCTGCCAAATAAGGAGCCCACGGGGAATAATTTCCAAAGCCATGGCTTCCCGAACTGGGTAGCCTCTGTGCCTGTATCCTGTCAAATCAATGCATGTTCATGATGGAAACTTTTGTCATAGGATGTGAGGGTTGGTGTAGGGTAGGGCAGAGGCAGGTCATACCTCTTCATGCATCCCATGTTCGTAAGATGTCATCCAGAGCCTTCTCAGAAGTGTGGATTTTACTATTACAATGAGCTCTTGGTTGTCTTAAGTTCATCAGAGATGCCCTTACCTCTTGGAGCTGGTTCTTTTCTGGATTCTGTCAGTGGTGTCGTCTGCAGGTGTTTACCTGGAAGTCCGAGCTACTCCTGGAAAATATGCTCACAGGATTTGGGGGTTTTCTTTGCATACAGGATTTATTGAAATTATTGGGGTGACGTTGGTTAATGACATTATATACGTTTCAGGTACAATTCTGTAATACCTTGTATGTCTATGGTGTGTTCACCAGCCCAAGTCAAGTCTCCTTCCATTACCGTTTATCCCCCCTTTACCCTCCTCTACCTCCCCCTACTCCCCCTCCCTCTGGTAATCACCCTGCTCTTGTCTGTATCTTGAGGGTTTTTTCTTTGCTTAATCCCATCACCCCTCTCACCCAGAATCCCACCCCTGCCCTCTGACAGCTGTCAGTCGCTAACAGAGTATTTTGTTATTTTCTCATACCAACCTGACGGTATCACTTGGAGTCTAATTTTTCCCTTTTTCCTAGAAAATTGCAATTGATGCTCCCTGTATATTTATGGCAGGCAGATTTAACCACTTTGGAATCATTGCATATGATGAAAGTTATAGCCCCTTCTCTGAAGACTGAGACGGAACGATAGAAAACGACTGGTTTCTTAGGAGCCCCAAAGCCTCCATAGCTCCTCAGGGCCCGCTTAGTAGGGAAGCAGTGGGGTGTGGGAAAGAGAAAGCTTTGGTCCACCTGAGATTTCATTGTCTTAATTCTAAGTAGGGGAAGTAATAACAAGTCCTGTTTCGAAGCCGCACATCAGCCCTGTCGCCTGGTATTACGTCCCCAGATCACAACGTAAGGACAGAACAAGACTCAGGCCAACTCGTCTGACTTCTGAGTTACCAGCTCCGAAGCTCCGTCTAGGTATCGAAGGAAAGAACAGATTTTGAAGAGCTGTGGACTGCACAAATGAGGGTGGTGTTCCTCACCAAGAGGATCATAGGAAGCAGTGACCACACACACACTTTTCAGCCAACTCCGTATAAGATAGCAAGTTTGTTGTTTCAGAAAATCGCATTAACCTTTCCGTTTTCCCTGTAGAAGCAGTATGCCTTGCCCGGTGTTGGGGGCAGGGAGGAACCCCTACCAAATGGACTTGAAAAACAAGAAGAGTGACTACTGCATGTGATGTTACAGGGAGGACTTTTGCAGGATCTCCAGGGTTTTAAAGAACTTTTCCACTTTACAGCCTGCTTTCCACCTCCAGCCTGGCCCTTCCCAACCTCCACCCTCCACTCACCTTACTTCTTCCCTGGGGAGTCTTTACTTCTGCACCGTGGGTATTGCAGTATTACATGCAATATTTGTGTGTGTGTTTAAATTATGAAGAAATCTCACATTAGAGATTTCAGGTTCTATAAAACGATTTCTCAATCATTGAAGGTGAATTTACTTAGAACAGAAGATGAATTCTTTCTCAGTTTGCACTCCTAAGACTCCTCCAGGGAGATGGGATGCTAAAGCGTGCGGTGTGATTTCATGGTGTGCAGCGTGCTGGCGTTGACCTCAGTAGGGTGTCTGCATTGACTGACCTCTGTTGCCGGCAATGTTTCTTTGATTGTAGCGGTGAGTGGTTTATTCTGAGTGCCTCTCCTTCTCCCTCTCTTATAGGGAAATTTGATGAAGTCTATGAGGCACTAGCTCATGCTCATCCTAATCTGACTGTTTACAAAAAAGAAGAGATTCCAGAAAGATGGCATTACAAATACAACAATCGAATCCAGCCGATTATTGCAGTGGCTGACGAAGGGTGGTCTATTCTTCAGAATAAGTCAGCTGACTTTATGTGTGAGTATGTTACAGTCGTCTCTTCCCATTCTGCCTCACTGTTTGCTAAGGTGGACGCAATGGATAACACAGTAGTTTATTGATTGATTGAGTAACTGGCTAGTGTTATACATTAATAGCAAAATAAAGATCCTTGGGGCTTTAAAAAGAGGTAACCTCCTAAAAGTGAAACATTTACTTCTCTTGAAGCCAGACCAAAAATATGCAGTGACCTATAATACAAATTATAACCATTATGTTCCTGAAAAAAACGTAACTGAAATTTAGAAATTGAATTACTTTCTGTATCTGTTTTATATTCTGATTTCATTAGATTTTTTTATTGATTTGAGAGAGAGAGAGAGGAAGTGGGGAGCAGAGAGAGAGAGATGGAGATCAATTTGTTGTTCCACTTATTTATGCATTCATTGGTGACTCTTGTATGTGTCCTAACCGGGGATGGAACCTACATCCTTAGCATATTGGGATGACGCTCAACCCAACTGAGCTATTGGCCAGGACCTGATTTAATTAGAATTTAAACTCAATTTTTTTTTTTTGCAATTGTCAGCTTTCTAGTTTTCTGGTTTTGCTTTTTGTTTTTTCCCCTTATGGCGCTTCCAAATATAGGCCAGCTTTGCTTTATACCTTGAAATCATTTCCAAAAAGAAGTGAATGTGTCATGGAAAATAATATATCAAGATGTGTTTTCCTAATACCTGGTGCTAAGATTTTGGAGATATTGCCACTGAATAAATTTAGAATATAATGGAACTTCCACTTAAAATTCAAGCATATAAAATAAGGCACTCTCCACCACCCTTATTGTGTGATTTTCTCTTCTTATATCGCTTTTAACAAGGTAGCCAAATGGAAGAGTCACCCAAAGGATTTTACTCATGTTTATTGCGTCTCTCGTTTGCATATTTGCTCTCAAACTCCATGCTTCTACTTTGTATCATCAGTGACTGACCCCTACAGACTAACTTCCCCAGGCTTCTTTGCGAACTGGTTCTGGTGAGGTTTGGCCAACGGAATACCCTGTAGGAGTTTGGAAGCCAGGGCAAAGGGAGAAGCCAGGTTTTTGTTTCCTACTGTCTGCCTCAGGCTGTGTCTCTAATAACCGCTTCACTTCCTCTGTGATCCCAGCCCCCTCTGGACAACTGTCTCTGTGGCCTCAGCTCTTACTAAGTAGCCCTGGCTTTTGGGCTCTGTTAAACCAGCCACCTCTTCCTGTGTGTTTCCAGCCCTGGGCCTGTAGGAGGTTCCCACTGTGGCCAGTCCCCCGGATAACCTCGTCATCCCATGTTTGCTTCTCAGCTCTTCAGCACTTTAATAACTAGTTGCCATGTTTAAGCCCCTCTACTGGACTACCTGGCATGGCTTCCTGGCTGAATTAGATAGGAACACACACTCCTGATCAGTTATCAGTTCGCTGGGGTTGGTTTCTACTCCGTTCCTTGAATGTTGAAGGGACCACATTGTGTCAAACTAAAAGTGTTTTTTTTGGGTGTTGGTCCTTGATGTATATGAGAGATGCACAAAAATGTCCCTTGAGGCAGAATTAGGTTCCTGTCGTGCTTATGGAGGAGAAGAAAAATGGTTGCCTGTCAGTGGCACTGGTAATGTACACATAATTCATAGTGACAGATTACATGCCATATGTCATTTAAACAGGTACGTGGTTTCTGGTTCTTAAAACTGGTTTTCCATACAGATAATGATCTGTAAACCATGTTTAAACACATGAGGGGACCCATATTAAGACCTTTAAAAATAATTCCTTTGGCCCTGGCCGGTTTGGCTCAGTGGTTAGAGCTTCGACCTGTGGACCTGAGATTCCTGGGTTTTGGTTCCCGCTAAGGGCACGTACCTCAGTTGCAGTTTGTTCCCGGCCCCAGTTGGGGTCGTGTGGGTGGCAACCACTCAGTGTGTCTCTCTCACATCGATGTTTCTCTCTCTCTCTTCCTCCCTCTCTCCCTCCCGCTCTATCTGAAGGTAAATGCAAAAATGTCCTCAGGTGAGGGTAAAAAATAAATAATTCCTTTGGCCATGAGAATAATTGCCACCTTTATATGTTCAGATTTTCATGAACTGTGCCATTAGCTCTCATATTAGAAGAGTTGATCAAAACTTCACAGTTAACATGAATTATAGGACTGAATTGAAATTTGTTTTGGCGAACTACAATTGCACAGTAGATTGGTCACACCTATTTTTGATAGAAAACCTTAATAATGCTCCTATTTATATTACATTATGTTCATTTATTCAACAAAGTAACTAAATATTGACTACTACAGTTCTTCTCAGCCTGAGTTCCACCGGAGATTAAAGCACAAGTTTTCAAAGTGTGTTACCAGGACCAGCAGCAGCCTACTCACCTGGGAACTTGTTAGAAATGCAGATTCTTGGGTCCAACCCAGACTCCCTGGATTAGAAGCTGTGAGGGTAGAGCCCAGCAGTGTGTGTTTTCACATCCCCCCAGGAGTCCTAGGCACATTTAAATTGAAGAACTACTCCCCTTTGGTATCCATTATTAAATATTATCTACGGGAGCGAGCATTTATGGTAGGAGCTACCACTACAAACCAAAGTCCCTAATAATGGGAAAGGTTTTATAAGTCGTAATGATTTCATGTCAAATCTGATTTTCTAGTAAAAGGTGGGCTATGAGAGAATCACCTTTGCCTTCAAGACTGAGAGTCTAGGTCCCAGCTTCTTATAGAAATGAACAGAACAATTATGCAATCAATTACAAATTCTATAACGGTCGATTTCCCAGTGTTGATGTTATCAGTTAATTCAGTAGAATAGCTTAGTACCCTGTCAAATAATTCCAGATGATTTCATAAATCCAGCATTGTTTTTACTTAAATAAACACAAGAGAATTAGGGACTTTAGAAAGACTTCTTTTGCTCAGTCTGGCCAGGCAGACTTGGAATTGCTTTGAGGAGATGACTAGGGGTCACTTTGTGACTCTCAGAGACATTGATTTAGGATTTTTTTTCAATGTTGTGTTCCTGTTACATATTTCCCTGTAGCAGTGTGGGTACAGGAGACTGATTTGCTAGCCATTGTCCTCAGTTTTCTTACGTGGCCATCTTACCACCAGTAGCTCCTTTACCTTTGCACCCTGATTCCATGCTTAGCACACATGCCTTTAAAATGCAGCTTTTATTATAGAAAATATAGTCAACGATATTGTAATAACTTATGGTGCCTAGTAGGCACTTGAATTATCAGAGGGTTCGTTTCATGTAACCTATATGAATGTCTAGCTGCTGTGCTACACACTTGCAACTAATACAAAAAAGTGTCAAATGCAAACTGTAATAAAAAAATAAAATAAAAAATCACAATGCCATTCCCACAAAAATAAAATAAAATAAAATGTAGCTTTTGTTATGCAGGAGTTTTCAGCCTCCAATTTTGTATCACTTGCTAAGTCAGAAGACTCCTCAAGTTTTTACTCGACTTGTATCCACACTGAGGCACACGGTGTTCAGCTGGATCCTGAGCAGAACCCGTGGAAGTCAAGATTTTACCCTCAAGTCCTGCCTTTATTTTTCAGGAGCGAATTGTAACTATAACTAGAGGTTTGATTATTTGGGGTGTCTTTTGTTTTACTTGATTGTTTTTCTCCTTTTGTTAGTAATTATGAAGGTATTGTCTTCATGACTAAGAGCACCTTTATCTTGTATCTTTAGAATCTTTAGAGAAATCATTAGAACATAGTAGGTACCTAACAAATAGTTTACCTGCCACCAAAAAAAATCCATTTCGTTTTCCCTTGACTTGGCTCTATGTTGCTCGTTACCCTCCCCATCTGCTGCTTAAGGTAGTGTTGGCCTCAGAGAATGACAGATGTGTAATGCTTTGCCTTGTCAGTACCTGAAGTGGACTGTGATGTTGACAACAGCAAAGATTGTTTTGTAAAAGACTGTTTTAAAAGTCAAATTGGGTAACATGCATTTACTTGTTCAGACTTTCACAGGACAACAATTATTTGCATGTTAATGCCTTCTGGTCGGCTAACGTTGACATACATTTTATCTTTACAGTAGGCAACCACGGTTATGATAACGCGTTAGCAGAAATGCATCCCATATTTTTAGCCCACGGTCCTGCCTTCAGAAAGAATTTCACAAAAGCAGCTATGAACTCCACAGATCTGTACCCACTGCTCTGCCACCTCCTCGGTATCCCCGCCTTGCCACACAACGGGTCACTCAGCAGCGTCCAGGACCTGCTCAGCTCGCCAGCAACGAGACCAGCTCCTCACACTCCACGTCTCCACGGCGGTGTCAGACCCGGAGAACACGAGCAGGAGGAGCCATACGCTTATTTCATAGGAGTCTCTCTCGGCAGCATTCTAGTTGTTGTCTTTTTAATAGTTTTTGTTAAACATTTAATTCCCAGTCAGATCCCCACCTTACCAGATATGCAGGCTGAAATAGCTCAACCATTGTTACAAGCCTAATGCTACTGAGAAGTGGAGGTTGCGTAACTGTATCAGTGTTTAAAGGTTTCGGATTCTCGGAAACCACCTTCATACATTTGCACAGACCATTAAGCAATTGTATACAGATCCAGGCACAGTCTTTCCCACGCACTTGCACACACACAGATGGACTAAAATACACATGCCTGCAAAGGATTAAAAATGTCGAAGTGCGTTTCCATTGTTCGGCCTGGCCTAGGGGGGGATAAGATCCTGCTTTATTTGGACTTGGCACATACATAAATATATATTTAGTAACTTTGCACTATTTAAAGTACCTTATATGTTGCACTTTAAATTAGTCTCCTAATGGGTACTTCTATGTGAAAGGCACTTTATTGACAATTATGTCTTATAAGTTGGTTGAAAAGGAAGGCTGTTGAAAATTAGATGGACCAAGGCCTTTGTGCGTTGCATTTTGGAGAGATTTATTCCTAACAGCAGCATGAATCTCGGCATTCCTTGTCCTGTGTCTTTCCCAAGGACGTAGGTTTTCATTTTGTTTTCCCATGAAAAAAGATTCAATTACTGGCAGATTCTATCTAGACATATTGTTTCTGCCATAAAATTCATTATTACTATTTCCTGATTCATCATTTTCCTCTGACTTTTTAAAACACCACGAATCCACATTTCTTTCCTCTGTAGTCCAGCACTGGCCTGAATATTAGAGATCGCGTATCATCCTAGCGAATGTTTTGTTCTATAATTATTTGCTTTTTTGAAAATGAAATCATTAATTACATTAAACATCAAATTAAATAGCCCTGGCCGGATTGGCTCAGCGGTTATAGCATTGGCCTGTGGTCCAGAGAAACCCAGGATCGGTTTTTGCTAAGGGCATGTACCTCGGTTGCAGTTTGTCCCTGGCCCTGGCTGGTCGTGCGGGTGGCAGCCACTTGATGTGTCCCTTTCACGCCGATGTTGCGCTCTCTCTCCCTCCCACTCTATCTGGACAAAAAATGGAAAGGTGTCCTCGGGTGAGGATAAAAATAAATAAATTAAAATAAAATTAAATAAAACAATGCTTGTTTTATTTCTGGTAACAACATAGTAAGAGAGCACAAGCATCTTTGAGGTGTGGATATTTGAAGATGCAGAATTAGCATAACCTCTGTTAGGCAAATGTAAGCCATGAAAAGAGCTGTGTAGAGCTTGGGGAGGAAAACGAGGCAGGTGGTTCCCAGGGGACCCAGCGCAGTGCCGAAGGGTGCCTGCAGGCCCAAACTAGCAAAGCAACTCTGAGAGGGAACAGGTGTTGAAACAAGAGGAGCCTAGTATTAGCCTTGTTACATGAACTATTCGAATACCTGCCCCCCAGGTGCTCAGTGGAATCAAAGACAAATCCAAGTTCATAGATAGATTTCACCTCCTGGGTAGTTTTTCACCTGCCTGGTCATCTGTCTCCTCTCATTCCAACCAACCACCTGGAGTGTGGCACATACAATGTATATATTTAGCAACTTTTGGACTTGGCACAAACAATACAACTGAGCCTGGGATCTTGTAACTAGTGGAGAGTGGGGGTATTCCCTGTGCATCCTTAGAGGAAAGAGGAAGCCCTGCAGAAAACAGCTTTCCTTGAAGGAAACAGACACACAGTCCATGGCAATGTTGTGATTTCATGTGGAAATATGCACCCGCTGGCTGGCCATGAGAAACGGGAAATGTGCTTCAGAACGAAAGGCTACATTAGATGGAGAGAACAGAGGGGCATGGTTAAAAATACAGCTGAGTCTAAATGCTCCCAAAAATGAGGTGGGTAAATTGGTTTTCAAGTAATGCCAATTAAAAAATGGTAGCACTGAATTCTCATTTCATTATACAGACCTCTTAATAGTATTGAATGGAATCACAGGGAAGGTACTATGGATTAGAAAGCTAAGAAGTTGATGGTAGGTAGCAGACTCAAAAAGTATGAATTTGGGATTGGAGATCTAGAAATGTGACCGGTCACGTTGGCGTGCTTTGTAGCTATGAACTTAGCTGCATTATTGAGATGCCAATATAACGGCTGCAAGGAAATTGGTCTATTTAAAAGTGTTACTAGCCCTGGCCGGTTTGGCTCAGCTGTTAGAGCATCAGCCTGCGGTCCAGAGAGACCCAGGTTCGGTTCCCGCTAAGGGCACGTACCTCGGTTGCAGTTTGTCCCCGGCCCTGGTTGGGTTGTGCGGGTGGCAGCCACTCGATGTGTCTCTCTCACGTCGATGTTTCTCTCTCTCTCTCTTCCTCTCTCTCCCTCCCACTCTATCTGAACAAAAAAAATGGAAAAATGTCTTCGGGTGAGGATAAAAAATAAAAAAATAAAAAAAGCATTACTATTCAAGCGCTCTCTGTACATTGATTGTTTCATTAAATTCATTTGAGAAGATGCTATAACTTCAGCAGTAAGAAGAAAGTAAATTCTGTAACTGATGAAATCATTAAAATTCTGATACGAAGATTTGATTATTGAATTGTTCCTTTCATTTACAGATACTTATTTTCCTGTAAAATATCAGCAGGAGAGAGAGTTTACCTGAAGAAAAATAAAATCTTAGTTTGCTGTGAAAAATCTAGCCACTCGTCATCCTTTGATAGCTCTTCTCGTTTCGGTTTTACCTGTATGTCTTCATGGCCATACTTTGTATGTGGTTAATGAAAATTAGCACATAGAAATGAAATTTAGACTAGCTAATCTAATTGTAAATAAAACTTAGAAAAAAATGTTTTTCCTTTATTGATTTTAGAGAGGAAGTAAAAGAGAGAGAGAGAGAAATATTGGTGCAAGAGATCATTGATTGGCCGCCTCCTGCATGCCCCCCACTGGGGATCGGGCCCGCAACCTGGGCATGTGTCCTGACTGGGAATCGAACCGGTGACTTTTTGGTGCATGGGTCCATGCTCAACCACTGAGCCACACCAGCTGGACTAAATAAGACTTTTGAAATGGTCAGAGGAATGAAGTTTGGCCACCCTACCGATTTTGCTCAGCATCCTCCAGCTATTTTGTACTATTACTCAGTTGATAAGATTTTTCTTATTCAGTATATGCTTTGCAATTTCTCTCTTTGCCACCTGCCATTTTAATTTAAAATTTCTGTAAATTTAAAATGGCTTTCCAACATGCTTTCTGATCTCTTAAAGGAAAAGTGGGATCTTATTATTAGTTTCAGTTTCATACAAAGACCTACCATTTCTAGAAAATCTAATGAAGATCCCAGCTCTCCTAGTTGTCAGATTTTTTTCAGCTATTCATTAAGGGTGACATGCTCGAGAGTGTAGCCTCAGGAGGGAACTAAGGGACCATTCGACCCCTGATTTAACCAAAGCTATAAGTGGCTTTGTGCCACATTAGTGCAAGTTGGAAGCCGGAGCCAGGTATCCTGATCCAGTTTGGGGTTTAGGACCTCAACATAATGAACTTGAGGGGACACAATTCAGTCCATAACAGGCAAGGAATGCAAAATAAAAACAATAAAAGCTCCTGGAAAAATGAGAGGCTGTACAAGAAAATGTATTGATAACCACTAACTTGATAATTCACTGTCGTCTACAAAGGTGGTCCAGAGCTGCTACTGAGAAGCCTTTGCCACTTGTTTCTCCTTCCCTCCCTCCCTCTCCCTCTCTCCTCCCTTCCATAACATTTGTTTCTACATGTTCAGTTCCTTGAAAATGTACACTTACTATCTAAGGATACTCAACCTGCCACTCAGGGGTCCCTCTCATTTTAAAGGGTTATATCTCACTCTCTTTTTTGTTATTAATCCTCACCTGAGGATATTTTTTCATTGATTTTTTTTTTTTAAGAGTGGAAGGCAGAGTGAGAGAGAGAGGGGGGGGGAGAGAGAGAGAGAAAGAGAGAGAGAGAGAATCAATGTGAGAGACACACTGATTCGTTGCCTCCTGCACGACCCCAACCAGGGCCAGTGGGATCAAACCTGCAACTCATACATGATGTAAACTTGAATCAAACCCATGATCCTTCAGTCCCCAGGCTGATGCTCTAACCAAACAGGCCAGGGCAGCTTTTATCTCTTTTTTATTCTAACAAATTCTCATCATTTAGTTTGGTTTATATTTTTCTTTCATTCATTTTCCATTTACCTTTTTTGGCACTCATATTAGTTGGATGTTAAAACTCCTGAATTGGTTGATCGTTCATCTCTTAATATTTCCAACTCTTTGCTTTTTGTTACACCATTCGAGATACTACATCTTCCAAGCCTTGGCCCTTTTAATTTTTTACACAATGAAAGTTTTTATTTGTCTAAAGTTCTGGTTCTGTTTCTTTGTTATTTCTATTGCTGTTTAACTTTTTAAATTGAATTCAACATACTCAAAAAGTGTTCAAATAGCAAATGTGGCCAATTATCAATAAGTGAACAAATTCATATAACTTCACTTTAGAAGAGAAATAGAAGATGGAAAATTAACAGCACTCCAGAAAGACCCTCAGACCCAATTTCGACCTCCTCTCTACTGTCTGAGGTAACACTATGCTGACTAGGAACACAATAGAATACTTCCCGTTTATACATATTTTTAGTGTTGTTAATCCTCACCCAAGGATATTTTTCCCATTGATTTTTAGATAAAGTGGAAGGAAGGAAGGGAGGGAAGGGAAGAGAAAGAGAGAAACAATGTGAGAGAGACACATCAATTGGTTGCCTCCTGCATGTGCCCCAAAGGGGGCCACGGATTGAACCTACAACCAGGACGTGTCCCTGATTGGGAAGTGAACCCCAAACCCTTTGGTGCATAGGCTGATGCTCTGACCACTGAACCACTGAAACAGCCAGGGCCCCTGTTTATAAATTTTATCTAAATGGAATCATACAATATACATTCATTTATGTTTGGCTTTTTCCACTCAAGGTTACGTAAGATTCATTCATGTTCTGTGTGTAGCAGTGGTTTATTTTCACTGTTCCACGAAATCACATGAATATACCACAATTTATGTATTGTTTTTGGGTATTTGGATCATCTCCAATTTGATGTCACCATGAGTCATGCTGCTATGAGCACTCTTTTATGTGTCTTTTGGTGAATATATGTACACATTTTTTTTGTTGGATATATTAAATGTATTCACTATTTAACCTGGGGTTTTTCAGAAGCAAAGTCAGAGACAAAGACTTGTTATGCAGGCAATTGATTTGTGAAGTGATCCCAGGAAACGAGAGTGAGGGACAGGGAGTAAAGGGGGGTGCAGAGAAAGCCGCTAGGAGCTTAGGTTACAGAATCGGCCACTGCAGTGAGTGCCGGGCCCGGAAGGCCTGCAGAGGCACCTTATGAAATGCTTCTCAGAACTGGCTGCCTGAGGAATGGAAGAGGAAAGCAAAGCATTTACCGATCAGCCTCCAACCCCACTGGTTTCGCGGCACGTGGGTATTCACCCCAAGTAGTTCTGAGTGGTTCATGCAGAAGTGCCAAACGTGATCTTACAGGCACCCCGTGCTGTGTCTGGGCCAGGGAGAAAGAGACCAAGCATGGTTAGGGTGCATCTGTAGGAAGTTGGTCGCAGCCAGGATGAAACTGGAGGAAAGGGTGGGTTGAGTGGATCTGAGGTGCGGTGCGAGAGATGTCTATACACTCACATATGTATGGACTCTTCATTTTCACAAGGGTCATCAACTCTGCTCATCCATTTGTCCTTGTGTCAGCACCATACTGTTTTATTATAACTTTTTGATAGTTCTTGACATCAAGTCCTATAACTTTATTTTTACTGGATTGTCTTTGACTCTTTACATTTTTTCTACATTTTGAGTC